GGTTTCCGAGGAGCGGCCAGTGAGTTTGAAGCAACGACCCTTGCAGTTCAAACCATCCTTGCAGCCGAGTGTTCACCTTACTACAGCGCCACACCAGCACTCCAAGTGCACAATAGCATTATGAAAACATTTGAAGTACCATGAGAATGACCAGAATGTGACACAGAGACACGAGGTGAGCACATGCTGTTGGGAAAATAGGGCCAAGAGACTTGCTCAGCACAGGATTGCCACAAACTGTCAATTTATAAAAAATGAAGTATCTGCCAAGTGCAATCATATGTGGTATGCTCTCTTTCAAGTGGCTTTTTTTTTTTTCTTTTTACAAAAATCTGCTTGAATTTAGTACCCATTGTAAAAGCCATCTTTGTATTTTCTATTGGTAGATTGCACGGACTCCTTGTATTTGGCTGCTTTTCCTAAGAAAGCCCCAAACAGCAACATGATGCAGAATATCTTTGGAACAAAACTTGCCTCATCCATCTTCCTTTTCTTTCAGGGCCGCATTAGGGCACCAGAGGGAGGCAGTGAGCAAATTTGTTGTAGTTTACAAGCTTAAATTTCTTACTTCAGTGAAAATGCTTAAAAGAGTGGCTTGAAATCAGATGTGTGTCATGGATCCAATTGTGTTCCCCAAAAGTATGTGTCAACTTGGCTAGACCATGAGTCTCAGTATTATGTAATTATTCTCTATTTGGTTTTGCCTGATATAATCATCCTGTGTGTTGCAAATACTAACCTCCATGTTAATGAATCAGGATTAGTGACATTTATGTTAATGAGGCTGCATACAATCTATAGAATTCGGTTACAGGAGGAGCTTCAAACTGTTGTGGAAAAATGAAATGAAAAGCCAGTGAAACTTTATACATTTTAATGTTTCCTTGTGAATTGGACGACAGTTTGCAAAACACATCAGTTTTCCATTCAGCAATTCTCATACACATATTGTTTCATTTCATTGGTTGCAATCCTCACAGTTTAATGTCACTTATCCCTTTTCCTCCTTGTTTTCTGTTTCCATTCTTTCTGCCCTAACCCTTCTGAGCTTTGTCCTTGAGTAAATGCTGCCCTTTTGAGCTCAAATGGTTGATTATTTTAAGGTATGTATCTCCCTAGTGTATTGTTTCCCTTATATATCTGTTGTTTGACTGGAAATTGATCCATGTGGCTGAGTTAGTTTCCTGACCTAAGTGGTGACTAAGGGCCTGCTCTGAGTTTTGTTCCATAATCTTTTCCCACTCTATCCAGGACCTTCTAATGTGCTTTTTGAACCTCCCTAGTATCTTGAGTCAATGTCTTTTGATATACATATTTTTATATATTTGTTGTTGTTAAGTGCCATTGAGTCAGTTCTGACTCATACCAACCCTGTATAGGGTTTCCGAGGAGTGGCTGCTGAATTTGAACTGCCGACCTTGTGCCTCAAACTGACCTCACAGCAAAACAGATTAAAACAAATGAGTAGAGATCCGAGAGACCTTAATACCACCAATGAAAGAAGAAGTAGGAGTAGAGTGTGTCGTTTAGACCCAGAGTTCCTGCAATGTGAACCTCCAGACCTAGGGGGAAAACGGACGCTAAGTCATGTGGAGGTCTCCAAGGAACACCATGCCTGCAGATGTTGAAAGGAGACTAGAACGTTCCTCCAGAGGCAACAAAGAAAGCTTCCCTTAGAGCTCACCCCTGAATTCAGACTTCTGGCCTCCCACACCTGGAGAGAATACATTTGTTAAAGACAGGTACTTGTATTTCTGTTATAGAAACACAAGGTAACTAAGACATTTTAAATGAAGACTTTCACAGGAAAAGATGATTGTACTCAAAATTAAGAAATCCAAGGAAGCTTTTGGAGATTTTTTTTGGATTCATGCATTAGCAACTAGTAGTGCTTTAAGGAAGGAGCTATGGTAGCATGGTGGTTATGAGTTAAGCTGTTAATCTTAAGGTCAGCAGTTCGAAACTACCAGCCATTCCGCAGGAGAAAGCTAAGGCTTTCTGCTCCCGTAAAGATTTACAGCCTCAGAAATCCTATGCAGGGTCACTATTTGTTGGAACAATTTGATGGCACACAACCACATTGCTTTTAGATGGTGACTGTGTATCCTATTTTGGTTTGCTTTATAGCAACTTCATTTCTAGGTATGATGAAAAACAATTGCTCCCGGTCAGTTTAACATTGAACAAATCAACAGCTGACTTTCAAGTGTTCAATTACTGTCAGCAAGTAGTACACAGACCACCAGCCATTACTACAGAAAGCTGAAGGGAATCATCCCAGAGAGAAGAGTTCTCAAGAAAGGCGATTCCATGTTGTAGGAATTTTGTGGCTGCCACCAATTTAGCAGTCCAATGTTGCGTTCAGTTACCATGTTAGATTATCATACCAACGTCAGGAATATTGTGCATGGAACCTTACAGCAAAGCATTTAAGACTTGTGGGTAGATGAGAAAAAGAGAACACTGACGAAGTCCGCGGGTCTCATTTTAATCAAAAGATGATTAGGTGTTCTTGTGTCAGACACCAATCCACTCCATGAGAAACGGAATGGAGCACTGGGGCAGTATTGATTTGTTCAGTACTGTGTTGTTGTTAGGTGCCATCAAGTCGGTACCGACCCATAGCGACCTTATGCACAGCAGAACGAAACACTGCCCGATACTGGGCCAACCTCACTATTGTTGCCATGCTTGAGCCCATTGATGATGCCACTTGGCTAATCCATCTCGTTGGGGGTCTTCCTCTTTTTCTCTGACCCTCCACTTTACCAAACATGATCTCCTCCAGCGACTGGTCCCTCTTGACAATTATGGCCCAAGTATGAGAGATGCAGTTTGGCCATCTTGGGCTCCAAGGAACAATCTTATGCCAACCCCTTAATAGCTATGTGTGAGCTGGTTGTCTGTAGCCAGTGTGTTAACTAATTCTGTTGAGGGTTTCCCCTTTTCATTTCCCATTGCCAGGATAATCTAGATATTATGTATCTAAAGGAATTGCAGTTGACCCTTGAACAGGGTTTTGAACTGTGCTAGTCTACTTAAATGGATCCTTTAAAAAAGCCATGTGATGCTAATCATCAATCGTTTCTCTCTAAATTGTATTGCAGTAAAAAGTTCTCTTTGAGGCTATGGAGAGCAGCTGAGGACTCTAAACTTATGGAAAGAGAATGGCTGTGTGCTGGCAGCCAGGAGGCAGGTTTGCAGAATGTGCCCTTTGGTTGGTTGTTTACATGATTATATATTCCTGAGTGTTTCTGTGTACATTAAAAAAAAAAAAAAAAAAAAAAAAGGAATAGAAGTGAATGTGTTGGATGATGATGCATGGAGGGGATTGCAATCATTGCAATGAAACGGAATACGATAGGGAGTGTAAAACTGATGTTCTCCCATGTAAACTATCACTCAATTCATAATAAACACTTAAAAAAACCCCACAATAACTTCATCTCTTGTATATTTTTCACTATGTTTAGTACAAGACTGTAAGTGTGCTCCCAAAAAACAAGACATGAGATTTTAAGAGAAAGTTGGATTGCTGCAGATTGAGGTCTGGAGTAGTGACTATCCACCATTTCCAGATAAAGGAAACCAATGTAAGGACCATGGTCAAAAAAGAAGTTTGTGAAATGTGTTAAAACGATGCCAGGAGGTTCAAAACCCTTGCACAATGTTTTAGACTGAAAATGCAGCTGTAATGTGGGTGCAGTATATAATGCATGTAACATGCAAACTGTGCTCACTGACTTGTTATCAGTAAGGCTTCTAGTCAACTGTATGGTGGTACTTTTGGAGGTTTTGACGCTGGGGGAGGGGGGAGGGGCGGGGAGACAGTGGGGTGTTAGTGCCCATAACATAGTTCAAGTGAACTGCATTTAAAATATTGTAAATCACCATAACATTTATTTACCTATTTGGTAATAGGAGTCCCTGTGCGGTGCAAATGATTTAACATGCTCAGCTGCTAACTGGGGTACATCCTGAGTGAAGTATTCTGAAAAATCAGCCACTGAAGACTATAGAGCATAGCTCCACCCTAACACACATGGGGTCACCAATTTGGAGTTAACTCCAAGGCCAACTGGAAAATACTTTACCGAGGTTGTTTGTGTATGTATTACAGAGAACTTCAGGATTACTTGTGATAGTTGTCAACTTGACTGGACCAGGATTCCCAGTTTGGCAGTTGATACTTCACTCTGTGGATGACTATGAACAGCCAATCGAATGAAGGCATGCTTCCCTTGGTACCATGGCTTGCTCCCAAAATAATGAACATACTGGATATACTATTCTTCTCCCCTGGGTCTGATCTCACATCTAACCTGTTCTTTGAACCTGAGCCAGTGGCCTGCCTGGAAAACCGAACGTCCATCGGAGGACCCTGCACTCTTGTTCCTGTCACCTTGGCTAGTGTGCTGACAGTTCTTGGCTGATTGTCACGCTGATGCTGTCCCTGCTCCAACACAGAGGTCCTATTCTGTGCCCTGACCTGGGATTCCTGTCTTCTGGAGCTGCCTGGCAGATCTTGCTTCACCTGATCTGCACTTGGGATTCTCCTAGCTCTAGTCTCCACATATATACACATACATATATGTGTGTTGTACTTGTTTTTTTCTAGAGAACTCAGCCTAAGACACTTGTTAATATGAAGGTGGCACGTTAACAAGATTTTACTGTATGAATTTTGTTTTATTTGCCCTGGGTGTAATGAACATGGTTTCATTTATACCCAAAGTGATAAGTAGTGTCACTTTCAGAACCAATGATTAACAGGTTTGTAAAGGAAGGAGTCCTGGTGTGGTGTTGTGGGTTAATGCGCCAGACTGCAAAGCTGTTTTAACTGCAAAGTCGGTGGTTCAAGCTCACCAGCTGCTCCTCGGAAACCCTATGCAGAGTCGCTATGAGTCAGAACCAACTCGATGGCCCTGCACAACACCAACAAAGGAAGACAAAAAACAAAAACTTTCCACACACATACACACACAAAATCACACCAAGAATACTGTATCACTACAAATTTTATTCAGAAACCCATCTTTGTGTTTTTTTTTTTGTTGTTTTTTAAAAAAAATTCCCATTATGAACTGGTTTGGTCAATCAACTCCAACCCTTCCTAGTAGACACACAGTAAAAATTGCATGGCTCAGAATCGTCCAGATCGCTCTCGGTCTCTCGATCGCCGCCTATCACGCTCCCGTCCCCCACCACCACCACCGCCGCCGCCACCTCCACCACGACCACGGTCTCTCGACCGAGACCGACGTTCACGAGACCGGGATCGAGATCTATGCCTGCAGATAGGGAAAGAGAAAAAATTATTTGCACCAGAAACCACACAGTGAAAACACAAAACAGATTACTGCCTAATACTTTAATGACAGAGGAAAAAAAGCAACATTTTAAAATGGAAAAGATACATTATCATCTCCTCTCCTACCTCACCTTCTCTAGTGCTAACTGTAACCACAATAAGACAATGAACTTGCTAGATACAATTTTCTGTAACTATTTCTCAAGTCTAAGGAACTCTGCTAGCATAGTGGTTATGAATTGGGCTGCGAACCACAAGGTCAGCAGTTTGAAACTACCAGCTGTTCTGTGGGAGAAAGATGAGGCTTTCTGCTCCTTTAACGATTTATAGCCTCGGAAACCCTGTACAGGGTCACTATGAGGCGGAACCGACTCCACGGCACATAACAACAACAACATTTCTCAGGTGTAGCTAACTTGTAGGTCAGGCTATTGGAGGTAAAAGAGCAGGGTCTTTTTTCTACGAGTTTTTTCTGAAATAAAATACAATCACCAGTAATGCTTATATTTCCTAGCACATGTGGAATGGAGAGCTGAAAATCTTTCTATGATCAGAGGTCAATCTATGAAGAGACTGACGACATTCACCAGTATACAGATTAAACCTAAATGCATTACAGGTCCCTTTATCTTAATTTCGGTGATTCTCCATTGAACTGTTTGCTAGCTCTGGGCATCTGATCTCTATTTGAGATCTGTGTGCATATGAGTGTTTCAAAAAGTCCATTTAAAAATCAGTAAGTACTCCGTCTGAAACCTGAATCACCCCTATGTCCTGCATCCCCTTGCCGTACATACACTGCCCGCTCATGAGTCCTGTGGCCACCTTGGTTACCAGCTGAGGTGGTGACACAGTACGTGTGGTCCATATCCCTTATTTTTACTTCATGGTGGCCCCAAAGCAAAGGGTAGTGGTGCATATGCCAGAGGAGTCATAAAGCCCCTCCTTTAAGTTAAAGGGTGAAATTCTAAGGTTCTGGGATTTTCCCACTTCCTCCTGAATTTCATTCACAGCAGGGTTTCCTACTCATCATTGTATCCTCAGCACCCTGTACCAGGCCACAAAGTAGGCATATAGTTACATGCTGAATGAATGGATAAATGATTATTCTCTTTCTGGCTTCCCTACAGGATAAGCAGACTTGTGAGGTGCAAAAATAGCGCTTATCCGGCACACTCCCATCACGTCCTGACTTTGTTGTGAATTCCACATTGAACACTTAAAACTGTCTTTAGTCTGAAGCGTTTGCTGGTACTATAGGCTAAGCACTGAACTACAAGGTTGGTTTGAATCGCAAAGTCAGAGGTTAAAACTTATCAGAGGCTCCTATGTGTCGGAACCAACTCGAAGGCACTGTACTCAACAACAACTTGCACTTCTATGAATATTTGCAGTTTGACAATAAATGGCTTAAAGACTAAAGCCATAAATAATAATAAAAAAAGCTTTATAATGGTAGTGTTCAGATACTCACTTCTTACGACGGCGCCCATACAACTCCCGCCGCAGTTCTCTAGAAATGGGCTTCAAATGCATGAAGTTGCAGAAGCCTCCTCGTGTGCACTCTCTGTGGACAGAAAGCAGGTCATTACCACCCAGATCAGAGCTGACACTTTGCTATGAGTGTGCAACCTCCAGGTCCCATACTGACCCCATCTCGTACTGGCGACAACAGGCTTCTCTAAAGTCAGTCACAGGGGAGAGCTCCGCATGGATGGGCTGCCCATTAAACCAGCGGTTATTTAAGTCAATCACTGCCTTTTCTGCATCTTCTTCACGACGAAACTAAAAAGACAACGCAATATTTGCAACTCACACTTTAAGTACTAAAATTTTCCATTATCAGTCCTAACAACACAAAACTCATAAGCCATCAAATCAATTCCAACTCACTATGACCCTATATAGGGTTTATAAAGGAGCAGACAGTCTCATCTTTCTATCATGGAGCAGCTAGTGGTTTTGAACTGACAACCTTGGAGTTAGCAGCCAAATGCCTAACCCACAGTGCCACTTGGACGCCTACATGTTTAGATAAAAAATGTGGAATAATATTGCAGATCAATTTAAAAATCAGATACTGCTTTATTTACAATGTTATTAATTTTATCATAATTCAAGATTGTGCCAAACACTGCCTTCATCTTCAAATTCATTTAGCTAAAAGACCAAATGTAATGATTGTGTAGATAACTAAAAAAACACAAGAAACCAGACATGTAAGTAAAACTAACTTCTTCTTACTCCAAACAGCTACTAACCACAACAGCTATTAGTGGCACTATAGGATATGCACTGAACTGATTGGCAGTTCAAACCCACCAACTGTTCCTCTGGACACAGATAAAGCTTTCTAGCCTTGGAAACACTATATAGCATTGCCCTAAGTCAGAATCTACTCTATGGCAGTGGGTTTCGGTTTTTGGTTTTCACAATTAACAATGAACAGTCCTTTCAACCCCAATGATAGGCCACTACAGACACACAAGATGCAGCACATTACAATTCATAAATAATTGCTGGACACTCCAAATTATCAGGGTTCAATGGCAAATTGGTGGCCAGCCCTTATTCATCAGTTTTGGCCAATCAGAACACAAAGCTCAGCTTGTCATCTTATGCCTACCTTGACATATACATTTCCAACTAGATGGTCTCCAAGATTATCACAGACATTCATCTCCTCAACTTCACCATACTTTTCCTCCATTTCCGTGAAAACCTCCTAGAGGGGGAAAATCAGTGGTTTAAGGATCATTATCCACTAAAGACAAATATACAACTGAACATACACTCATGTTCAATACAGTTTAATGGGGAAAGGCCATGTTTCTTTCCAGACAGATACAGAAGGGGAGGTCAATCACTTCAAAAACTCTGCATCTTACCTCAAAAAATTCATCATAGTGTTCCTGCATCTCCACATCGCTAACGGCACCTGTAAACAAGAGAAATCTTGTTGATTAGAACACAGAGGGAGGAGAGAGAACTCTTGTGCTAAAATTCAAACTGCTACAATAACACACGAGATTATCTAAAGAGAAAACACAGCAACACTTCACTCTACTGGAGCACTGAAGATATTGGATATTACACAAAGCCCCATAGGATAGTCTCAATTCTGGCTATTAAAGTAGTAATAGCACAGCAAGTTTTAATCTGCATCGAAGGGCTACATTTTCAAAAAGTGTTAAGCAAAGAGCTGACTCGAATTAAGAAAATTTCAAAGGAAAGTACTTTTCCTTTTTTTTAAAGGACAGAGGCCAACTAATCACACTGATTTTTCCCCTTTATTAGATATAGTGAAGGCTGAAATCAGGGTGACTATGTTACTAGCTAGTTTGCTTTACAGATTAGCAGTCGCATAGGATGCTATCAAATTCTTTCTGATGCGATTAAAACCCAAACAAGAGACGTGGTAGTAGCTATAATGATCAGGTCATTTACAGTATTTTGCAAGCTCACCAGCTGCTCCCTGGAAACCCTATGCAGGGTTGCTATTGGTCAGAATCGACTCGACGGGACTTAACAACAACAACAAGCAAAGGGAAAGTTACAATGCTTTGTTGAAAAAAGCATTCTTATTTTATATTCCAAAACTGTTTTCATCAAGTTTCTTCTTCTTTGCATCACATGTAGAACCAAGTCCATGGCTTGGGTGGATTTTACAAATTTACAATGCATCCCCATTATCATTCTACCATTTGTACTGTTCAAACCCTAGCATTTTCTTAACCTCAATCTAAGGAATCACAAAGGAGTGCTTATATGTTGACCAGGGATCCTGCAAAAGCCTGACTGGTTTCCATGCAGGGCCAACCCTGTCTTCCCATCTTCAGCTTCCACAGGCCAGCCTCATGGGCCTGATTGAGAGCCCTGGGTCTGGAAGGACCCTCAGGTTCACCCACGACAAGGGTGAGACCATACTTCCTTTCAGCAACTCAAATCTCTCTCCTTAAAGAGAAAAACTAACTTCAATCTTTAGGTTTTGAGAGTTATTTAAGTTTACTTTATAACCTACTATTGGGAAAAGGGAACCGTGGGCTGCTCTCACTACATTTTAGTTAATTTTTCAAGAATTCAGATTCCTTTAAAACTTGAACTCACTGACTGCATTAAACAAATACTACTACTGATGGCCAGTCAATGGTACCTACACCACATTATCCCCAAATTGGAAAGTTAGCATTATCTCTTTCCTACAGTAGAAGTTATAAAAATGGAAAAGCTAGCCAAATGAATGAAGCATATGAATGAAGCATATCCCCTTAGGACAGACTTTAATTCCTTTCCAGAAAGTCCATATTTGAAAAAAAAAGCTTGATAAGGGGTATATTTTATCTTCAATATTCAGCTTTAAATTTTAGAACCAATCAAAATGAATTGAGAGGCAGAGGCAAGTGTATTAAAATACAAATCAGCTAAAACTTTATTTAATGACATAATATATTTTAAATAATACAACTTAAAGATACCCAGTTTCCTTATGGAAACAGCATTCTTAAATTAGGATTCATATTTACCAGTAACTCAAGCACATAAAGCTGTTTTTTTTAAAATTAAATTTTCAACAACACTGTATGTTATAAAAACAGTAATTTTAGGAAATTGAACCTAGCTGAAATTTTATCAGAAGGCCTGTTGCTAAATATCTCAGGTTCTTCACCTTAAGCTTATTTTTAACCCCTAAACTGTAGAAACAGAATTTCAATTTTATATAAGCTGGACCCCAGAAATGGAATATTTAGTTATAGTTACATTACTTTGTAGCATAGGCAAAACAAGAGTACTGTGAATAGCAAATAAAGACACAAAGAAAACTAATACAATTTTCTATCGTCAATAATACACAGTCCCCAAATAAAATAATAAGGGCAAAAAGTAGCATTTATTACTACTCAATTGTCTACTTATTGTGGCAGGATTGTCACAAAAATTATTTCTAGTAAATCCACATACAAACATTTCCTTCCAATGACTGATCCTATTTCTTTAAAATGAAAAAAATAAATAAATAAAAAGGATTATTTTAAACAAAGGGTTACCATGTAAATCTTGCTGCCATCAAATTTGGCTAAAGAAATTCTCTACCAATTATGTCAGGAGCCCTAGTTAAGTGCTTGGCTGCTAACCTACTGGTTGGTGGTTTGAACCACCCCACCCGCTGTGGCTCTTGGGATGGGAGAATGACCCGACAACCTTATCTTGTCCTATGAAGATTACAGCCTAGAGAACCCTGTGAGGCAGTTAGTTCTACTCGGTCACAGGGACATTAATGAGTATCAAAACTGACTCGGTGATACCTAACAATAACTCTCAGGTCACTATTAACATCAAAAACCACTTCCTGTCTTAGCAGGAAAAATGACAAGAAAACCCTGCCCCCACATGAAGTGTGGTATTCGTGGGCGCACAAGCCTGCACAGCCAGTCACTGTGTGCCAGCACGAGTGGTAGTGGCCAGTGGGGCCATTTCAACCCCAGTGATTCCAAGTGTATCCAAAGCAGGTACTTTCTAACAGCGCCTTCTATTAATTTTACTGCTTTAAAACAAGTTGGTGAATGAGACGTTATTGACCTTTAGTTTGGACCCGTTGATTTTAAGAGTCCTGGTTGTTCATTTCAATATATCCACAGATGATTCAATTCCAATGAGTCTACAGTTGAATAGTTATAAAAATTAAATTTTAGTTTTTTGAACTCCCCTCCACGATAGCAATCTACCCCATTTTATAAATATTACTACTCAGGTAATACAACAGCCACAACCTAAATTTTACTATCTCCCAGTATAGGCATAAACCGGTCGGTGATGGCCACTGGAAGCCCAGTTTAGAGCTATTCCCCACCAAGTATCCCATATTTTATAAATGTTGTAATAGACCAAATCCTAGAGTCAGATAAGTCTTTTTTAAAAACAAAACCAAAAATGGTGAGCTTTGCTAGCATTTAGTATACAGGGCTGATGATGAGAAAAATTTTAGGGGGTAATGCATGTCAGGCATCTTTGGGGAAACATTCTTAGAATATGATACTCACAATTACAACAAGATTTCCAAAATGGTGTTTATGAAAAAATTTGTTTAATCTGAAAAGTAATTTCAAATCAAGAGTTTTACAAGTACCTGAAAGTGAGATTAACTTTCAGATACTGTTGATTTTAAGAGGGAAGAGTAACTCCAAGTACACACCCTCTCTAGAATAAAGATCAAAGTAAAGGCAGCACAGCAACAGCTCCAAACTCTTTGAAAGGGCACCATTTCCAGTCACTTTTTTTTTTCTTAAAAAGGTAAAACGGATAGTTGACACACCACTGGTTTTCATAGGGGGAAGAGGAGGGCTGTAAATAGGACAACAGCTTCTTGCCACCTTTTAACAAAACGTGGTCCTTTACACTACAATGCAGACCAGATTGAGTTGACACTGAGCTCTGACACGTAAGCCCAGGGAACCAGGGAAGGAACTTGTATGAACTTACAGCGCAAACCGTCAGCAGACTGGGAAGAGTTTTGAGGGTTACGGTAAATGTTCAAGAGGGCAATGGTCTGAAATACAAAACGCAACAACTTTATATTATGGAAAATTAAATTTAAACACTTCACCGGTTTCCTTTGGCGATCACTTCAGTTGAGGCTCAGTGCTGAAAAAAGAGGAAGTTATTTTCTTTGGAAGCAGAGATGTTTTCTCTTAGTTGATGGCTGTCTTGAAACACCCTAACACTGCACTGTAACAGAGATCTCATAATATGGTAATATTGTATTTCAGTTTAACGTAAAACATTCCATTTCACAACTGTGAGCCAATCATGAGTGCAATTGATTTGCTAGCCAACTACCTACATGCTACAGAAAACTGCTAATGAATAACTGAGAAAGAAGTCTGCCTGCATATAACTGATAAAATACCATTCTAGTGAAATACAATAATTACATATCATGAAATCTCCACTTCCTAGAGAAAAAATTATAATGGTGAAATAAAACCCACACTTATTGGGTAACTTACCTTTTTTGATTCCTAAATATTCCTAAGATTTAAATTTTTTACAGAAAGAACTTAATAAATGCCAGGGGTTCACTCACTGTTAAGACCAATGGCAGGCTAATGACTTTAAAGAACATCTCATGGGGATGGGTCACTTCCCTTTATTTAACTATCAAAGGAAGAGGCCCAGCCAGTGAGCTTTTCAGAAAAGCCTTGTGAACATGGTCAAGTTTTAAGTTCTTGCTGTGTGCGCCAAGGAGTTCCATCACCTTGTACTGTTTGCAACAGCTCTATGTCAGCAGCTCAGAAGCCAACATGGTTTGTCTCAATTAAGAGTGGGCTCTTTAACAGCATTCTCTTAAAAAAATTTCTCCAACTGTGGGACTTACAGTGTGAGCCGTCAGCCGTCTGTGCACTGTTTTGGGGATTACGATAGATGTTTTGAATCAAGATGGTCTGCGGGGAAAAAAAAATAAAAAGGGGAATTCTACTGGCTGCTGTGCATATATTAGACAATTGCAAAGAGACAACTTGTTTGCAAATGGCTAAACGTTTGTTGTTTTTCCTGCAAGTCAGCCATGTGTCTTGTGAAGAGTCCACCAAAACCATCATATTATGAAAACAGAGTTTGAGCAGTGACTTAGGTCAAGTCAGCCAGCAACCAAGAAGAAATGGTAAGTTATTTTGAGTAGTCCCACATTGTTAACATTGTTTTAATACAAGATAAATAGAACACTAACATTTTCTTGTACTTCAAACTAACAGATATTAGTATGTCTAAAAAGTTCACATTATATAATATTCTCCACACAAAATGCATATCTCAACTGTATGCAATACATTCACGTTCTCCGGTCTCTTACAAAATAGACACACCAAACATATCTCTGAACTGTTGACTGGATACCTGATTGTCTTATTTACACTTTCTTGGTGGGATCTCTGTTTACATAATACAATAGCTTAAAATATTTGCTCTTTTCCGATCCTTCTTTTAAGAAAAAAAATCCTTTTAGCCCTTGTGCTTTACACTGGATCAGGCAGACTTGAAACCTTACATTGTACCGTTCTTCTTAAAATCAAGTTGTCTGAAAAAACAAACCATGTTTAAGTTAGTAAGCTAATATATTACATGAATCTTAATGTCCATATCACTGTAAGAAGCTTAAAAAGAAGTCCACACTGAATTATGCTAGAAACTTACAAGACAAATGGATAACAGCATGATTTAGAAAACAAAAACGTTGTTTCTCCCTCAACATGTGTGCAGAGCAGGTTCCTAAGTGTTTTTAAGAAACCAGCTAGTTCAATTCTTGGCTATGTTGAAAGGTGTGTGGAAGTGTGAGGAGAGCTCTCCAGTAAAACCTCAGCTGCCTGGAAATTCCCATGGGAAGGGGCAATGGGCTGCACACACTGACTGGTATGGACAAATCACACTCTAAACATGAGGCCCAGCACCCACCCAGCCCGCCACTATCATAAACCATCAAGTACTGCTGACTTCACTCAGACAATGTTTAACTGGTCAACAGAAGGTGACAACTCTAATGAAAAGCTGTATAGACCCGATTATTCAAATGTAGAATGTATTTAAGTCTCACTCAGGTAAATGGGTAACGGATGTTCAATGAAAAGAATGTCACTTAAAGTCACAGTAAAATCAGGGTGACCAGAGTTACCTAAAACCAACTAACCAACAAAATTAAATCAAAATAAGAGGAAGTTAATATATGTATTGACCTCACCAATGAATGGAAAATGGAAACATCACCTCATTTTGATAACTTTATATTTAACATTCTAAGGTAATAGATGATTTAGAAAAAGAAATCAAAAGCTTATGGCTATCTTATTCAGGAAAACTTATATAACAGGGGACAGTTAATTTAACTCTCAGCCCCATGCTAGGCTCACCTGTAAGTAAGTTCAAAAAAATCAGAGTGGCATTATTTGAGGTGTGCTTAGTTATTGCCCATTGTATGGTCTCTAGCATAGCTTGGAGCAATTTATTTTTCAATTGCAATGAACAGAAATTTTAAAGCAAATTGTTGGAAACTCACACATACATACAAAAGAAATGTCCAAATGCTTCCTATACCACTTGGTAATTAGGAACAATGGGAGGGAGTGACACCACCCTGCTCCTATCTGAGAGCACATTATTTTTGGGGGGGTTTCCTATGGCTTAAATTAGACATTACTAATGTGTTTCTTCCAGTTCATTTATACCAATTATCTGGTTTTCCTAAATTCTTAACAGGAAAACACAGAAATAAGTCTGGTAGGATGATAAAGACATGAACGCAAAGGCAGAGTCCAGCAGCTTCCAAGGGCTATATAAAATAATGGCCCAAATGTTTAGAGACTACACATTCAGACTTCAGGGGTGGGCTAGCAGGCGTTCAACTGCCCTCAGTTTGGAAATTCAAGTACAGATATTCAAAATCCCAAAGTTTTATGAACCTTGGGAAACTTCTATTAGAGACACTCTCTTCCTTTAGTCAGTGATCATGTGGGTGATGAAAACCCTTGTGCTTGCTTTAATTCATCAAAAATAAACCATTAAAACCCACAATTTTTACTGAACTGAACACATAGCAGATGTATGTCCAAGACAATAGGCATCTCTGTTAAATGAATAAATCTGCTATGAGCAATTTAAGGTTAAGTACCCATCTTTCTAATCTTTAGTTTAATTTTTAAGGTTTCCCTGACAGGTAATGTAACTTGCTATTTTCTCAACTTAAGAGTCTAAGAGAACAGAACACACCCAGCATGATGGGTCTGGTGACAATCACGTTGGCATTTCTTCTAAGACTATTTTGTATGACCTCAAATGAAAGCAGAAAGCCATTCAGCATCTACCAATTCCTGGAACTGAGCCTGAGTAAGTCCAGGCTGGCATAGCCCCTCTTCTCTGGAGCCATGTCATTCACATGGGAACGAGGAGGCGGCCAGAATTAACGGCAATGTACGAACATTTAAAATGGCCCCAGCTAAAACAGGACCTCTTCTGAAAGTTTCTCACAATATTAACAGGAAATAGTGCTCTTAAACTTTCCATGGGAACCAGACTTTTTATTTTGGGGATGTGTGAAGCAGACACATTTAACAAAAAAACCCACCACTCACTGATTAACGCAATAAAATACAACTAAAGCAGGCAGGGGGAATCCATACTTGCTTCATATATGGAAATTATTAACTGCCCCTGAAAAGCACAAAGTTTATATACTTTACATGAAAACAGGAAAAATAAAATAAAATGAAAAAAAAAAAAAACAAACCTGGCTAAAGGTCGGTTTATTGTGCAACCGAGAGCATCTGTCTCCATGACGACATGCTCCAATTTTGAAATAAAATGAACAGTTGACTCTGTAAGGGAAAATAAGAGCTGATTATTTTGCCGAGAAAATATAAAAGCAGATGGAAATGTCAGTAACATAATTTGTAGTATTAAACTTATTTTACCTCACAAAAGCATAAACAGTGTTACACAATAGGAATCTCTGGTAGAAGAAACTTGTCTTCTTCCAAGCAGTGTTTTTAGACGATTTAAATTCAATCTTCCCTTCTATACACATACTGTTCTTTCAATTAAGAGCACACTCCTTCTAACCTTCCTCATTCAAATCCTCCTCCACTATTAACTTCCACTTTCTCTACTTTGTTCAACTGTCTCTTAAATGGAATATTAAATTAGTTGAAAACTAAATTTAACCTAAGACTGTCTTCCCCTTTATGACCTCCTCTCTTTTGAACACCAACATGCAGAGAGTGGGTCACAGGTCCAGAATGTCTACTCGCTGTCCCTGGCCTTGGGCAGAGCCCCCAACCTCTGTGGGTCTTGGATGCCATCTGTAAAACGAGAAAAATGCCAAGCTGGCACTGTTCCGAGAATCACATATAATGGATGTGTACTTCTTACACAGTGCCCATTAAATGCTATCATTACCTAAAGAAAACAAAAACAAAGTTCAGTTTCTCTCACCCATATCAGACTAGTAGGAAATTTCCAAAAATAAATCAGAGGAAATCATGTGTCCTTCCACACCTATTGTCACTGAATTGATTCTGACTCATGGTGGTCCTCCAGGACAGAGTATAACTGCCCCATAGGATTTCCTTGGCTGTATCTTTGCTTTTTAGGAGCGATGACCTTGCTTCTTGGAGTCTAAAACCCCGTATCTCCTTGAAAGGAGACATGAGTAACCAAGATTAAAGAACCAACCTTTCTGAATGTTTACTTTTGCATCTAATCTGATTATTACATTTTTAATAGTTTATTTTTAAGGGATGCAACTCATTATGCTAAAACATCACAGAATAAAAAAATCAAAATTTCTTAGTTAAAAACATGACTTTCACAGTATAGCCCTAATCGGGTAGAAATGTGGTTATTTCTACCCGATTAGGGCTATACTATAAAATAAGTCCTGGTGTGGTGCCAAGGGTTAATGTGCTGGACTACAAAGTTGGTTTGAACTGCAAGGTCAACTTAAGCTCATCAGCCACTCCTTGAAAACCCTATACATGGTCGCTCTGAGTTGGAACTGACTCAACGGCCCTTAACAACAACACAGCAAGGATAAAAAAAAGTTATTAGAATAAACTCTACAGTTAGTCACCAAAGAAGCCACTTGATAGTCTCTTATAAGAGCAAGAAACAAAGCACATGGGACATGAATCAGAGCAATACAAATAAAAACCAAAGAGTGAAATATGTATACCCCAACCCTGCATGCAATGTTCTTCAGTCCGAAGGAGAAGCTTCTTGTTACAGTGTTGTGTGCTGTAGAGTTCATTCCGGCTCAAAGCGCAACCCGTGTAGTATTTTTGAGGAGTCTTGGTATGGCGCTGTGGGTTAATGCGCTGGACCACAATGTCAGTTTGAACCACAAGGCAGGCGGTTCAAACCTACCAACCACTCCTCGGAAATCCTATACAGGATCGCTGTGGGTCGGAACTGATTCGATGGCACTTAACAATAATAAATCTTTGCAGGAGCAAAAAATCTCTGACCTTGTAGTTGGCAGCCCAGTCAGTGCTTTTCCTACAGAGTCATCTTTCCTTGTTACAGCTGTTGTTGTTATTAAGTGTCCTTCAATCTGTCAACTCATAGCAACCCAGTATAGTGACCCCAAGAAGTGTGGCTGGTGGGTTCGAACCACTGACCTTGTGGTTAGTAATCCTGTGCTTTTTCTATAGCACCACACCAGGATGCCCTTGTTCCAGGAGAGCTGATCTACTGATTCAGCAAGATCCAATTTGTAAGCAAATTTCCCAAGCTACTTCCTGTGATCCCAAAGTACTCAGGATTCTTTTTCACAGGGTTTAAACATTTAACGCATTTTACACGTTAATTATCCTTTACACCCACTCCCTTGTACCTTCCCCACCTCCAAGAGTTCCCAGGCAACATTCAAATTTTATCCATTTATGAGTGCCCCAAAGTGCATATAATTGTCACTCAAGGAGACTTGATTTTGCTAGAAATGGAGGGCCATTGGCACAAGGAAGAATGCTTCTGGCTACTTATCAGAAGACTTCTAGAAATAAAATATAACCCCCCTTTCCAAACACAGAAGATTCCATCATGTGTATACATGAGTTTTACAAAATAGATACCATCTTGGAAAAAGTGTTTTAAAAACACGATCTATGACAAACTTAGGAATTCTGGTGTGGTGCTGTAGGATAAACACTGAACTGCTAACCAAAAGGTTAGCCATTCAAACCCACAAGCTTAGCTGTTTCTTGGTGGTAGTGTGCCATGGAGTCGGTTCTGACTCATAGCAACCCTGGCATAGGGTTTCCAAGGCTGTAAATCCTTATGGGAGTAGAAAGCCTCATCTTTCTCCCGCGGAACGCCGGTAGTTTCAAACTGCTGACCATTAGACTGACAGCCCTACTCCTAACCACAAACCCAATATTCATAGGGTCACTTGACAGCACATAGTAATGCGACCAACTTAAGGGAGTCCTGGTATGGTGCTATAGGGTTGTTGTTAAGTGCTATCAAGTTGATTCCAACCCATCGTGACCCTGTACAGGGTTTCCAAGGAGCAGCTGGTGAGCTTGAACCACCAACAATGCAGTTCAAACGGCTTTGCAGTCTGGTGCATTAACCCACAACACTACACCAGGAGTCCCATGCTGTAGAGTAAGTGCTGCTAACTCTTAAGGTTGGTGATTCAAACTCACCAGCTACTCCTCAGACATCCTATATTGGGGTTGCTAGGACTCAGAACTGTTTTCCGGGTAGGTAACAACTTAAGGGTCTATCATTAAAAACATGTGTTTGCATAAGCTTTCTAGAACTCTGAAAATTTACTACTCACTCAAGACACTTAGTAGCTAGGTTTTAAAAGTAAAATATTTCTTTAAATTTCACCTGCCCAGTGGAAATTAATACGTGTCAAAGTGAAATTCCTTAACTAATCGATTGGGAAATGTACGCACCCTAAAAAAAGGGCAAAAGCCATCTTTTCCATTACATTGGAATTGCATCTTCAAGGGTTTTAAAAGCAGATATCCTTTATAGGTGGTAGTTATGTGCCGTAGAGTCGGTTCTAACTCATTAACGACCCATATATAGGGTTTCCGAGGCTGTAAATATTTACGGGAGCAGAAAGCCTTTATCTTTCTTCCATGAAACAGCTGGTAGTTTCGAACCGCTAACCTTGAAGTTAGCAGCCCGATTTGTAACCAGTACGCTCCAGAGCTCTTTAAATGCTTGGATAGCCAATGAAAACATTTTTTTTCCCAAATATTCACAAGAGACAGGCCTGATAACTGCTTCAACATGCACACGACTTGAAAAGTGAATAAAGCCCAAATTATGAGTGCCCTATTTTTTTGTCCAACACGACATTACAAACTGAAAGTTGGCGAAAGATGCTAACATTTAAGAGACTCAGATCCTTTAAAGACAACTTTAGTACAACTCCAAGTGGCTTCTGAGAGCTTGCGAGCTTAGGGCCTCGCCAAAAGACTGGACAACCGAGTGGGCTACCAGAAGGCGGGAGAGACCTCGCCGTCCTTCTAACACCTAACAGCACTAGGAGCACCCAATATCGCCCGCGGCGCCTTGTGAGCGGTCAGGGCCACGCGGGATGTAGGCGACAGGGCCCTCCGGTCCCGCTGCCCGATCCCGCGCGCTCCATTCATCCGCCCGAGCGGCCCAACGAGGCAGCTGCTGCCCAAAAAGTACGCGCTGGGCCGGAAGGGGCGCCGCGCCTTCCCGCCGCCCGCTCCCCTCCCCCCACCGGCCGTGACGGCCCCGGCTCCCGCCACCTCCTCCCGTGACCTTCCCCGCCGGCTCTGGCCTCGCTTCCACGCGCTGCCGTCCCCGCCCACCCGTACCCCGCAGCATTCTCGGGGCCCAAAGACCCGGCCACTCTCACTTACTTGTCTTTCTCAGTGCCGAAAATGGAGGCCAAGTACTCCGCCATTTCCCACCCGCCGCCGCCGACACTGAAGCCGACGACTACAAGGCCCGACACCGGTGGGATACGTCACCCAAATGCGACGACGCTCTCTCCGCCCCCGACGACATGGCGCAGCTGTCCAATTGGGACTCGGTGCCTGTGCATAGGCGGGACTTGGCTCTCAGAAGACCCGCCCCGTCAGCCCAGGCGTCCGCGCGCCCCCTCTAGGCCGGCTGTGCTAGTCGCGCACCTGGAGTCGCGGGCCTGGGACGCCCCACAGCTGGAAAACGCGTGACGCAGACTCAGGATGGGTGTGTGAGGGCCAAGGCGCCAACCGCGCAGTTTTAAAGTCGGGCGTAGTAGTGGCGTTGCGTGTATACTCAGACGTAGCGGGGCTCGCGGAAGCGGAGATGCTCGGAAGTGGAAAAGTCAAGTCCCTTTCTGTGTTGGGTTCCCAAACCTTTGCTATGAATCGTTCCTCTGTGGCTTCTCTTCCGCTAGCCCACCTCAGCAGAGTTAAGTCCAGAGCGATCCGTGCTTCCGCCGCGGAAGGAGAGACCGCACGTCCACTGTACTTGTAATAATGAACACAGTTTGAAAAGGTTTTGATCCCGAGAGATCATTCAAGATGTAATTTAGAAAGTGTTGCTAAAAATCTAAACCAATGGATCCCCTGGAATTTTTCAGAGTCTCTGGAGCAAAAACATGCTATGATCTGGTCCGTGGGTAAGGGTACTAACCTTGGGGTGGGGGCAGCAGAATATCAGGATTAGAATTAACTGGAGGTCGGCACAGCTCTGAGTTTTAAGGAGAGGCACAGAATTGGGTTCCTGAGTCGAAGTGGCAACAGGAGTGGGGGCCGTTTCTTTCCCAAGGCCAGAGGGAGACATGGGCAAAGAAAATGCAAGAGCTTTCAAGAGTGTTTGTAAGCGTAGAAAGAGGTGAAGGAGGAGGCAAACAGCCCCAGAGAAGGAAGAGAAGCGAGGCAGAGGACCAAGGAAAGAGGGGGTCCTCATGTAGGAGGAGGGAAGGCTTCAGTTCCTCCCACGTTGTAGGACAAACGTTTCCCCATGTTTCCAAATGACCACAGCCCTGATTCCCTTCTGCCCTGTGTTTTCCAGTATTTAGAATATTTACAACAAAACATCAAACCCTTGCCATCACTGGTTACTACATTTGTTACAGAGTGGAAAGGCTCTGTCATGGATTTTCCCCTTACCACCCAATATGTGTCAACTGTCATTTGATATATGATGATCCTCCCTGATGTGATCTGATGTGATAAAGCAGCAAGACGATTAACACTTGTTAAGTGTTGTGGAATAGATTCTGACTCATAGCCACCCTGTATAGGGTTTTCAAGGTTTTAAAATCTTTTCAGGTGCTGAAAGGCTCATCTTTTTTCCTACGGAGCAGCTGATGGGCTCGAACTCCCGATCTTGTGGTCCGCAGTTCAGTGCTTATCCCATGGATTTTGTTGGTAAATGCTATCCAATGGATTCAGACTCATAGAGACCCTGTATAGGGTTTCTGAGGAGTAGCTGGTGGTTTTGAACCGGCCTTGCAATCTAGTGCTCATCCTACAGCGCCACACCAGGACTCCTAGATCCAGGGAAAGACTGATGCCAAGACATATGCTGAGCTCCAAGGAATAATGAGCTAACAGATGCTGAAAGGGGATAAGGACGTTTCCACAAAGCCTGTACTCTGGATTCTGACTTCTAGCTCCCAAACTATAAAAGAATAAATTTCTGTTTGGGATCTTTATGGAAGTAATTTCCCTGTGTCATGTTATACATACAAAAACATACTGGGAACCAACGAAATGTCTTCTGCCTGATTTAATATCTCTTATGTGTCAGTCCTAGTGTGGTGCTGTGGGTTAATGCGCTGGACTGCAGAGTTGGTTTGAACCACAGGTTGGTTCAAATGAGCTAGCTACAGATGAGCTAGCTGTACTGGAAGAAAGCTGATATTTTATTCTGCACAATTGCTTCATACATTCTCTTGCTGAATATCTTTTAAGGAAGTCCAATTTACCTTTTTTCTTTTGTGTATTATGTTTTGGATGGAGTATTTAAGCAGTTAAGAGATCAGACGACGTATTGCATAGGGCAAATCTGCTGCACAGGAACATTTTAAATTATTGAAGAGCAGAGATGTCAGTTTGAGGACTAAGGTGCGCCTGACCCAGCCATGGTGTGTTCAATAGCCTCATATGGATGTGAAAGCTGGACGGTGAATAAGGAAGATAGTAGAAGAATTGATGCCTTTGAGTTGTGGTGTTGGAGGAGAATACTGAAAGTGCCATGGACTGCCAATAGATCTATTCTGGAAGAAGTACAGCCAGAGTGCTCCTTGGAGGCCAGGATGGCTAAGCTTCGTCTCTCATACTTTGGACATATTGTCCGGAGGGAAGAGTCGCTGGAGAAGTATGTCATGCTGGGTAAGATGGAGGGTCAGAGAAAAAGAGGAAGACCCCCAAAGAGATGGATCAGCCAGGTGGCATCATTGATGGCGCCAGGTGTGGCAGCGGTAGTGAGGTTGGCCCAGAATCGGACATTGTTTCGTTCTGCTGTGCATGGGGTCACTATGAGTCAGTTCTGACTCGATGGCACCTGACAATAACAAATTTAAAATATCATTGTCAAACCCAAAGTCATTGAGTTTCTCTCCTATGTTACCTTCTAGAAGTTGTATAGTTTGGTAATTACATTTAGTCCTGTGACTCATTTTGAGTTAATTTTGGTGAAAGATTAAGCCTTGTGTCTCAATTTATTTTTGTGCATGTGTCCAGTTGTTCAGTGCTATTTGTTAAGAAGACTCTCCTTTTTCCAATTTATGTCTCTGATCTTTTGTTAGAGGTCAGTAGACTAGATTTGTGTGACCCTATTTCTAAGGTTTCTACTCGCTTCCATTGATCCATTTGTTGCTGTGATAGTATTTATTTACAGTTAACATTTAAGTCAATTGACTATAAGTAAAACTGATTACCCTCCACTGTGTGGGTGGGCCTCATCCAATCAGGGGAAGAACTTAAGAGAAAAACCTGAAGTTGGCTGAAGAGGAAGAAATTATGCCTTAAGACTGTGACATAGGCATGGATTCAGACAACAGACTTCTGGAGTTTCCAACTTGTCACCTAACCTACAGATTTCAGACTTGCCAACGTCTACAGTTGTTGTTGTTAGGTGCCATCAAGTTGGTACTGACTCATAGTGACCCTATGTACAACAGAACGAAACAGTGCCCGGTCCTGGGCTAACCTCACAATTGTTGCCATGCTTGAGCCCATTGATGCTGCCACTTTGCCAATCCATCTCACTGGGGGTCTTCTTCTTTTCCTTGGACCCTTCACCAAACCAACATGATATCCTTCTCCAGTGACTGGTCCCTCCTGACAATATGTCAAAAGTATGAGAGATGCAGTTTGGCCATCTTGGCCTCCAAGGAACACTCTGGCTGCACTTCTTCCAAAATGGATCTATTAGTTCTTTTGGCAGCCCATGGCACTTTCAATATTCTCCTCCAACACCATAACTCAAAAGCATCAATTTTTCTATGATCTACAGTGGAATGAGCCAAATCCTTAAGTCTATCACTTATCTGGAGTCCTGATATGGCGCTATGGGTTAATGCGCTGGATTGCAAAGTCAGTTTGAGCCACAAGGTCGGCTAGCTCACCATCTGCTCCTCACAAACCCTATACAGGGTAACTATGGGTTGGAACCAACTCAACAGTACTTAGCAACAACAGCATCACCTGTCAACTATCTGCCCATCCATATATCCATTCATCTATATTATCATTATCTATCTGTCAAGAAGCCCTGGTAGTGTGGTGGGTTACACATTGGGCTGCTAACCACAAGGACATCAGTTTGAGTCTACCAGGTGCTCTGTGGGAGGAAGATGAGACTTTCTGCTCCTGTAAAGATTTACAGCCTTGGAAACTCTATACAGGATTGCTATGAGTCGGAATCAACTTCAGCAGGGTGTTGTTCAGTTTCCATGTCTTCGATTTTATTGATTTGGCCTTCTTATTGTTGATTTCTAGTTTTATGGCATTGTGGTCTGAGAAGATGCTCTGTAGAATTTTGATGGTTGTGAATTTATGGAGGCTTGCTTTGTGTCCTAACACATGGTCAATTCTGGAAAATGTTTCATGCATACTGTAGAAGAATATGTATTGTGCTGTTGTTGGATAGAATGTTCTGTATACATCTATGAGGTCAAGTTGGTTGATTGTGTTGTTAAGTTCCTCTGTAGCATTGTTGAGTTTCTTTCTGGTTGTTCTATCCATTTTCGAGAGTGGTGTGTTGAAATCTCCCACTATAATTGTGGATTTATCTATTTCCTTCTTCAATTCCATTAAGGTTTGCTTCATGTATCTTGGTGCTCTTTCATTGGGGGCGTATATATTTATTATAGTTTTGTCGTCTTGCTCGATTGACCCTTTAATTATGAGATAGTGTCCTTCTTTGTCTCTTATGCTGGTTTTCATCTTACAATTTACTTTGTTGGAGATTAATATGTCTAGTGTTACAGTTGGCTTGGTAAATTTTCTTCTATGCTTTAACTTTTAGTCTGCTTTTGTCCTTGTATGTAAGGTGTGGCTCTTGCAGGCAGCATATTGATGGATCTTGTTTTCTTTCTTTCTTTTTTTTTTTTGGTCAGGGGAGAGCGCGGAACACAGTCCCCCACTATCACAAATTGTGCAGTGGAGTTTCCCACATTTGGGGAAATCGCAGGAGTCAGCACATCCCAAGGTGCAATGGATTAGCCTCGCCCTGGGGAAACCACCTTCGTGATCATGGAATCACCCCTGCCAGGTAAGTATGATGGATCTTGTTTTCTTATCCATTCTGCCACTTTTTGTCTCATCACTGGTGCATTCAATCCATTGACATTCAGTGTAATTATCGATAAGTACGAATTGATTGCTGTCATTATGTTACTTTTTTGGCAGTGCTGATTGTTCTTTGGTTCTGCTTTCTTTCTTGTGTTGGCTTTATGTCTTCAGAGTTGTTTTTGGTCAGTTTCCTCCTAGTTTCACTGTTCGCTTGATCTCCTTGGGAATTTGTTTTTATGAT